CTATCCTCTTCTTGGATTCAGGAAACGACACGAAGACCTCCAGTTCACGAAAGTGAAACCCCAACATCCATTGAAGAGCTCCGGATTGGAAAGCAGGTACTTGGTATCAGACTCACCAGAACAACCAAGCTGTTAGCAGTGACATTTTACATAACATTGTATGTACAGGGTGGTCATTTTATCTTGATAACATTTCAAACTGTCATAATTTCTTTATTTCTGAAGTTATTTAAATAAATAAAAAAACAACCTGTAGGGTTGTTTTCCAAGTTTTAGATAGGGTGGACAAAAAACAAAAGACTAATATACTGTGACAGTTATGCATACAGATAGCATTTTTTTATATGGAACACCCGGTAAATTTTTAGTTCGTTTGATAATATGTTTCATTCTGATTGCAATATATACAATACAATACAATTGAATACAATTTACTTCATATTTACACGCAGAAATGTTTTATTTATTCCAATGGGAAATTCTGTCTACCTACCTACCTTTGCAGGTAATCTATGTAGGTAATCAATATTTTCAGATAGAATAAATAAAACATTTCTGAATGTAAATATAAAGTGAATTGTATTCAATTATATTATATTGTATATAATGCAATCAGAATGAAACATATTAGCAAACAAACTAAAAATTTACTGGGTATTCCATTTAAAAAAATGCTATTTGTGCGCATAACTGTCAAAATATATCTGTCTTTTGTTTTTTGTTCACCCTATATAAAACTTGGAAAGCAACCCTACAGTATGTTTTTTTAATTATTTAAATAACTATTAAAATAAAGAAATTATGACAGTTTAAAATGTTATCAAGATAAAATGACCACACTGTACATACACAAAATAAAATTATTGTTTGAGTGGTTTCATTTGCACACAAAGGGGCTACAAGTTATCTTATATTAATTTTCCTTTGAATTCACGACCCTAGGTTATCTTTATCTTAAAGTATACAAATCTAGATTTATTTGTAACAACTCCTTTTAGCTCTTTTCGCCTCATTTTTTTGAAACCTATGACTGGCAGGAAGTTTCCGATGTCGAACATAGTGCAAAAAGAGTTAGTAAGTTAGCAAGAGACACGCAGCTATAGGTACGCAAAGTAAATACGAATAATAAATACAAATAGGAACGAAACGAAACACACGAGTAAATACAAAAAAATACAGACAAAAATTATGATTTTTTTCAACCAAAACTTTTTGAATTTTCACTTTAACGCGCGTGAGGACCATGGTTTACAACAACACAATTTAAAAATTCAAATTTTGACTTTAAAAATGACAAAACCAACCAACACAAATCACTGTCCACACCACAGATACCTGTAAATTTATTTTATCTCCCGACAGTGTCGCCATCGTTGAATGAAAACCTAACTAGAAACCTTCGTCGCGATTCTCCCATTTGAGATATTTTTCTATGGGTGATATGTTCTGTGGTACTAGTCATAGGCTACGTTCACCAGAACCAAAACGGATTGTAAACAGTTTACAAATAGCAACAGAATATGTTGGGTAAACTCTTGATTCTGCTGAACGATTCAACTTTTCAATGATAGAACCACAGAACATATCACCTCTAGAAAAGTATCTGCAATGGTATGTACCGGTTATGAATTACGGCGCCCTCGTTGACTGAAAACCCAACTAATCGAGTATTCTTGACAAAAAGGCGAATTGATTTTTTTCATATATTTTTATTATTTTTGTATAATTTTTAATGTTCAACTGCATTTGGCTTGCTGACTCCTCTTAGCTCTTTTCGCCTCACTTTTCTAAAAACTATGACTGGCAGGAAGTTTCCGATGTCGAACATAGTGCAAAAAGAGTTAGTAAGTTAGCAAGAGTCACGCAGTTATAGGTAGATCGCAAAGTAAATACGAATAATAAATACAAATACGAACGAAACGAAACAAACGAATAAATACAAAAAAATACGAACAAAAATTAGGTTTTTTTTCAACCAAAACTTTTTGAATTTTCACTTTACCGCGCGTAGAAACCGTGGGGTACAACAACACAATTTAAAAATTCAAATTATGACTTTTAAAATGACAAAATAAATGACAAAACCAACCAACACAAATCACTGTCCACGCCACAGATACCTGTAAATTTCTCTTATCTCCCGACAGTGTCGCCATCGTTGAATGAAAACCTAACTAAAAACCTTTGTCGCGATTCTTCCATTTGAGATATTTTTCTATAGGTGATATGTTCTGTGGATAGAACGTCACCTTCTGAATGACAGGTCACCACACAAAACACAGTGTTGAAAATTATAAACACCAATGAAAAACACTCTGAAATTATGCTTGCAAAAATGGCGGCCGTTTGCAAAACATGTTTGGTTTTAACACAAATTCAACGTAGCGTTCAGCAGAACAATCACAAACCGTTTACCAACGTTTGTATCTGGTGAACGCGGCCATAGAGTACAAGTTAACTTCAAACTCATTTCTGACGCAAATATTTTGACGTTAATGGTGGCAATTAGGTTTCTTCTAATATTCCTTCCAATTTTTCCATTTTTTATTTTGGAGGAAAAGGGAGAAAAAAAAAGGGTCGATCCTCAAACTCTTCGGAAAATGAAATTTTATCAATATAGTGACCAGATACAAAGGTACCATAGAAAATAAAGAGACAGAAAAGGCGACAAATCAAGAAAAAAGTGCTGTATGGGACAAAATTACCAAAGAATTTGATTCCGCTTCCCCTATAACAGGCTACTGGTCGACGGAGTGCTTAAAAAGGAGTTCTAAGGTTCTAGCCTAGTCTATATGTTCTAGTGACTTTAGGTCCCAACTTCTATCTTCTATGGAATAATTTCGCAGGCATTTCACTTATATACGATATGAAAAGGTTTTGGTAGGTTTTAGTTACAAAAACGCATAATTTAAAATTCAAGAAAGTGTTTTTTAAAAAATGTTTCCCTTTTTTTTTGGTGGATTTACGTTGCCGAGTTCTTGTCTTTGAGCTTTGGCGAGCGGAGCGAGCAATCGGATACTTAAAAATAATTAAAAGCAAAAAGGTGTTATATTTGCAAAAGGTTTTTCACGTTTTTCGTGAAACGATTGTTAAAATTTAAACCTCTGTTTAACTTACGATACAAGTGGGCATGAAAGTGACTTTAAGGACGATAATTTTAATGTAAGTACTCTAGTGACAAGTATTATTTTGACTTTATCAATGTTGAAATGACTATGAAACTTTATTGCATAACTATTATTATTATCTTGAGTGAATTGACTTTGAATACTTTTGTGCTTAGTATAAGATAGAGAAATATAATTCAAATGACTGTTAATTGAAATGAATTTTACTGAAGAGTTTGGATAATCAAATTGACTGTTTTGCAAATGATCAGTTAGTTATTTTGGTTTCTAATTAAATGAATTTAGATAAAATGTTCATTGTTTTGATAGTATTTACTCCGCCTAATTACATGATTTTTGAGTATACCTACGTATTGTACAAAATTTGGCAAGTTCAGGGATTTTATACGCTTATAGAACAGCCATTTTTCAACAAGTTATTATTATAATATAGGAAACAGAAACAGTACCAGGACATACCTGAAAGTACGTCTACCAGCAAGTCAAGTTCGATTATTGCCATATTGATTGTCATTGTACACAGATTGTATTTTATTGTTGAATTTATTAAAATCTTTTCAAAAACAAATATTGTTGTAGTTAATCCGAACTACAACATTTTCAAAGTTTAATTTGTTTTCTTGGGGATTTGATTTATTATAGCTACTAGATTATTTCCTTTTTTTTGTCATAACAACTAAAGATAAGCCATAATGATGAAACTCAGCCGAAGAAATTTAAGAGATAGATATCAAAATACATTGGGTTCAATGAAAACTTTGTTTATTTTCTAAACGGAGCAAATTGTGAAACTTTTATAAAGTAATTAACCTTGAATTAATTGGCCAAAGGGGACTGAACTTTTTATAAAAGTAGGCGATTTTGAGCTGTTTGCCGAACAAGTAAGAGTTTGTAAACCTTGTATAGAATGTTGTTTGTGCTGAAGCTTCAGAATAACTTTGTGTTTTTATGAGCAATTTTTCTTTCATTAAAAGTAAATTTTAACTCACTCCACAACCAAGGGGATTTGTTCTTGCAAGCTACGAGTTTTTATTAACACGTTAAGTATAAAGTTCAAAACATGTCTAAGAAAATTGAAAAGCAGCAAAAAGAATAGATATTTTTTTTTAAACCAATTCTTTATTACTTCATAATAGCATTACAATAAATAAACTAATCCTTCAATCAGTGCTTTAACACTGGTACCAAGGATATAAAACTAAACAATAATCAACAGTGTGTAAAATCTTAAGACATTAATAAAAAGTTCCACAGAAAAAAAAAATAAAAATCAACAGATTAACAAAAAAAGAAAAAAATATATGAGTCAAAGTAGCAGATAAATTGACCGGTTATCCGGTTAACCGATTTTTTAAAATTACTGATTTTGAAATAGGAGAAGCTGTAAAAGATATGGAATCCCGAAAGTAAAAGATAGACACTATAAGGCTAATACCACAGCTTTGGATCCGTTTTCATTCAAAATAGGTCAGAAAGTAAGTAAACAACAAACTCAAAAAGCTAATTTATGTTAGAAGTGCTAGAGATTTGCAAAAGTTTGTACTTAACAGGTGAAAATGTATAAACACAAAAAGATAAATAATTATGGGACAGAGGTAAAGACGCGTGAAGTGAAAGATATTCTCAATGATAGATCTTTTGGATATTAATTTAGAGTGAGAGTGACGATTATTTCCATGAATAAAAAGAGACATCAAGACAACTTAGTCTCTTGAAAACATGAATTAGTCGAACAACAAAAGGAAGAGGAAGCCTCCTTTGTAGGCATTCCAATGATTACGAAGTAAACTTAAAATCAGATTCTGACTGATGTTTCTAAATTTGAAACTGAGCTGAGCTCAAAATATTTGAATACAAAAAAACTATACTCACTATACAAATACTCCGAGCATCCGTCAAATCCTTCCTCGTCCTCCTCGCATTTTTCAGCTGCAGTCTCGTGGTCGCTCAAAGTGGTAGCGAAAATGCACGCGCCATGCTCGACCAGAAACTTAACCATGGTTAGATTGTTGCAACTCGCTGCGCAATGCAACGGCGTCCAGCCGTCACTATCCTGCGCGTTGACATCGCAACCGAACTCGACCAGAAACTTGACTATTTCTATGTGACCTGCGCAAATGGCGTTGTGCAGTGCTGTTATACCTTCGTCATTAGCCGCACTTGGATTGGTCACCTAGAAATAAATGGAATGTTTATTTCTAACATTTTCACAAAATTTGGGGCACGAACATTAATTTGTTTGAAAATTTTAGGAAAACTGAATAATCATGATCAAAAGAAAAAGACTACCAAACACAATGAAAATATATTACTGATTAATCAATAGATTATCTTACCTGTGTAGCAGTTTTCTTAACTAACTCCAATTCTCCCTCAAGACTAGCATCTAAAAGTAGAGCCAATGGATCAAAACTCACTCTTCTAGACAAATTGTGTTTCCCCACTTGTTTCAAGTTTCCTTTCTTTATTCGCCTTATTACATTATCTTCCTTGGGTTCTTTAGAGTCTATGCTGCTGGTGTCGTCCACAGAAGACCTAGAGCTTCTGTCCGTTTCATCTTTTGCAAGTTCTTTTTCTTGTAGTGGCGCAGCGATAGTTTCTGGTTTCTCCGGTGCAGAAGGTAGATTCTGTAAGTGTTCAAATATTTAATATAGTTTTTTTTTTTAATGATTTTTTTGTATAAATCCAAAAGGGCCTGGTATGTAAGTTAAAAAGATAGTAACCTCACTGAGACAATGATCTACACATAAGGAGTGAATTCCTAATGGAAAGCCCGCTCTAAAAGAATCAATTTGCCTATCAGTCAGGTAAATCAACTGAGACAGCCCTACACAGTCTCGTCACTAAGATTGAAAGGGCTCAATCAAGTCAAGAAATCGCTATATGCGCATTCATTGATATAGACTGCAATGGTCTCAGCAGTCAAGGGTTGGCCCCAAGGGGCTGTACTGACCTTACTGCTGTGGTTACTGGTAGTAGAGGAACTTCTTAACGCGCTAAGCGCCCAAGGGATCACGGTTCTAAAATATGCTGACGACCTTACAGAGAAAAGTATGACAGGATCATTAGTGACCTCATGCAAAATGCCCTAAATGTCATTAGATGGTGTCTACAGGAGGGTAAAGGCAAGGCGTCAACCGCAACAAAACCATAATTATTGTGCCTTTTACAGGGAAAAGGAGGCTGAATCTAACAGCCCCAACGTCAAATGGCATACAAATCAACTTCGCAAGTGAGGTTGGTTGAGCATCTGGGAGTCATCTTTCATCTTGGATTGGATACTTACTCGGAACCAACAACAAAATCTTAAAAGAGTAGGGTGAGGTGGGGTAGGTTCGGACATGGGGCACCTCCGGACATTTCAAATTTACCGCGAAATTATGACAGAAACTTAATAGAATAGAATCCTATGATTAGAAAAAGGAAGCTTCATTGTAATAAATACAAGTTAGAAAACAATAAAAGATGACATGCGCGCGCAGCTCGTAGGCTGCAGTGTAGCCAGATTGTATTGTTGCAGAACAAATGTAGAAAATACATTATAACATTGAAGAAGTAATATAGTCTCAAGTGTTTCACAACGCCTTAAGTCAGACAAAAGAAGAGCTTTAAAGTGCATAAACATCGTTTGCACTTTTATTTTGATAAATGTTTCATCCGGCAACATCGCTCAATGAAATTGCGAAGGAATATGTCAAGTATAATCTAACATAACCTTAAATGAAACTGCGGTGAGTTCAAGTAATATGTAAAGTATTAGTTTGCTCTTTGTCAAATTACACGTTACAAAGAAAGAAGGAACGATTCATTCTGAACTGGCCCCTGAATAAAAATATGACGCAAGCCTGTCATAAACCTCTCCCAAAACTGCCATAATTATTAAATTTAAGCCCAAAATTGAAAAAAAAATTAATAACATTGACAATGCTATTTATAGGTTATGTGACTTTGTTTGTCGACTTTCTGCCAAAGTCATTCATAATGAAATCTTCTATTAAAGTCGGGTGTTTTAGTAATGATATACCTAACCTCAAAAACAATTTTTGTAAATCAAGTTGAAATCCTGTTATGGAGTGTTTATATTTTTTTGCAACATGGGGCACTTTCGGACAAATTGAATGGGGCACATTCGGACTACTCGAAAGTGCCCCAGAGTCCTGTCCGATTGTGCCATCTCGAACGATAGTAACTCCGATGAAAGATTGTCAAAGTATGCTACCCGACAGGTGTTTACTCCTACCGAAGAGGCTGAATTTGAACAATATATGAAAGTTTCTTCGAAGATGTTCTACGGGTTGACCTACAGGTGTGCTAGAAAACTGGCTTTTGAATATGCCTCTAAAATAGACAAAACTTATCCGCAAACATGGAAAGAAAAGCAAATGGCAGGGGTAGGATGGATGAGATCATTCATGAAACCCCACCCAAGACTGTAATATCGCAAACCAGAGAACACAAGCATTGCAAGAGCTACATCTTTTAACAAGTCAAATGTAGATCATTTTTTCAAGAACTACGCCGAAGTTCAAGCAAAATACAATTTTACTGCTCACAGAATTTGGAATACAGATGAAACAGGTGTAACCACAGTTTTACAGGTCCCAAAAGTAATAGCGGAAACAGGTTCAAAAGGCGTAGGCCAATGTGTGTCAGCTGAAAGAGGCGTTTTGTTAACCATGCGTGGAACCATTTCCGCAAGTGGAAATTCAATTCCTCCTTTATACATTTTTCCGAGAATTCGAATGAAGGAGTCATTTTTGTATGGTGCAGTTCCAGGATCAGTAGGGTTTGCCGAAAAATCAGGTTGGATATCATCAAAAGTATTTGTTAAGCTATTAGAACACATACACTAGCACACAAGTTGTAGCCAAGCAAACCCAATCCTCCTGCTCTTGTATAACTGTAGCATGGGTTTCATGATGCTACAGTTGACGCAATATCTTATGCTCGTGAAAATGGTATCGTCATTCTCTCATTCCCACCTCATTGCACACATCGCATGCAACCACTGGACAAAGGTTTATATGGTTCTTTTAAAAACAGATGTTAATCCTCTTTTAATGATTACATATTGGGAAATCCTGGAAAGCCAATATCCATTTATGATATTGCAAGACTTACTGCTGATCCATTTTTGCAAAGTTTTACCCTGAAAAACATCTTAAGCAGCTTCTCCAGCACAGGTATATGGCCTATAAATTCAATGAATTTTACCGATGATGATTTCCTATGCCACAGATCGCGATATCGAAGGAAATTTTCCACCGACGGCTCCAATTTGCGATACAACTTCAATTTTTCCTCAAGCCAGTCGAGCGACTTCCATTCCAGCAAACATTGCTAGCACATCGGCCGCTTCATGCTCGCATGCCCTAGCTGACATGACCGCAGTAACGAATATGATAAAGGGCCTACTAAACGACAGTGTTGATGTAGTTTTTAAGCCAAAGATTAATATTATATTCATAGTCGAAATAAAACCTTATCCAAAGGCAGCTCCCAGAAAGAGGGAAGGAAAACCGCGTTTAGGTAAGTTTAGAATTTATACTTGTACTCCAGAGAAGGATAGAATAGTGAAATTGGAAAGCATGAGAAAACAGAAATTGAGTAATACCACGACAAAAAGGAAAGTTATGTTAGGTGAAAGAAAAGGTAAAGAAATATCCTCCTCTTCATCTGAGTCCGATATAGACTTGCCCAATAATATAACAAAGAAAAACAAATTTTTAGATTCCGATCCGATATAGACATGGACTCCAGATCCAGAAGAAATAATGAAACCTGATCAACTTATTGACGGCGATAAAATAGAATGTGGTGATCACCTATTGGTCAAATTTTCTACAAAAAAGAGAATTTTATATACTCCTGGACAAAATTATCGCACCACTGCACATAAGCACCATAAGCAGTGGTGCGATAATTTTGTCCAGGAGTATATTATATTGGAATAGTTATCAAAGAATCTGGTAACCAGGAGTATTCAGTTTAAGATTTGATGTTAACTTTTTCGGATGACATTCAATAGCTAATCTGTAATTTTTCGTTAGCACTTATGTTTATTTAAAGACATTTAGAATAATAATTAATAATCAAGTAACCCTTGAACATTTCAAAGATATATTGTTTATATGTTAGGAGTAACGTTTACAACGCGATTTTCTTTTCGGTTTAGTTCGCCTTGGATAAAAAATATGGCAAATTGAAAAAAGCTGTCCGAACGTGCCGCACTTTACCCTACCTTCCTAACCAACCGGGCTATAGCCACATACTGGACATGCTGGAGATTATTCAGCACACACACAAAAATGATTTATTGGTTATTTACAATGGTTATAAGAACCATGGTCACTTACGCTGCAATAGTATGGTGGCCAAAAGTAAAACAACCTACAGAGCAAAACCGATTGGCAACTGTACAAAGATGTACATGTCTTGAAATTACAGGAGCAATGAACATCTGTCCAACCAATGTAGGTCATGTTGGGCCTCCCCTCCCTCACTAGAATACTGAGGAAAGAGGCCTACATGGAAGCCTCGAGAATAATACAGTTCCTAAAACACGAGGAAGAAAACTTTGTCGGTCACATGTCACATGAGCATTATGAAAGAATGCATAAATACTCTAAGCATAAATATGACCACAAAATCAGTTTACCACAGTGGCGCACCCAGGAGGGGGGGGCTATCGGGCCAGGCCCCCCCCTAGGCCGCCCCTGATAACTGAATTTTTACGTTTAAAAAACCTAGCAACATCAAGGTGTGGCACCCTGACACCTTAATTTTTTTTTTAGACTTTCATTCACAAGCCACATCCTATGTAGGGCCCCCCCCAAACATATTTTCTGGGTGCGCTACTGGTTTACCACATGCAACACAGGTACGAATTTGAACACTCCTTTGAGGTGACTATTCAGGGCCGCAACGCAAGGTAGAAAATATTTTACCTGTATTTCCGAAAGGGTCATCTGTCTGGTATACAGGATCGAAAACTGAGCAAGGGACTCGAGCAAGCGTATATGGCCCACTTTGTAGACTATCAACAGCCGTAGGAGAAAGCCCAACCATAATTCAAGTGGAAATATACGCAATAGAACTTTGCGCTAGAAAGTGTCTCGCTTTCGAGACCTTCTCACTAAAACGATGAAATTTCAATTTTTTTTTTGTTAAGATTTTGTGTCCTAATGGTTCTTCGTGAACCCCCGAACTCTATAAACCAAATTATTCCGAGATTTGGAAGAGTGAAGTTCTACATCAGTTCCCACAATCAGGCAGGCAGCACTAAGAAAGAAAGTCCAGACTTGTGTGGGACTGCCAACAACTCCTTAAAGCATATGTCGTCTCGCAATAGAGTCACCTTGTCATGGGGTACCAGGGCACCAAGGAATCGAGGGGAATGAAATAGCGCACCAACTTGCAAGACAAGTAACTGCAACACCATTACTTGAATCAGAACATTTCTTAGGCATTACGAAAATCCATATGATAGGGGAATTCCAGAATTGGGTAACGGCTCAACAAGCCTCCCGCTGGAACACATTTCCATCAGGACTTAGACAGGTGAAACAATTCATCTCGCCTCAGTCAATAAAGGCAAAGAAAATTATTGATCTTAGTAAAGCGGTTCTAAGGGGCCTCCTTACGAGTCACTGCCCTTTGGGTTACCACCTGCAAAAGATGGGCGAAACAGAATGCCGCTTCTGTGAAAAAGCCTCTGAGTTTGCGAAACACATACTTTGCAACTGCGAGGCATTGTGCCGCAGAAGATTTATCCATCTAGAGTACAGCCCTATTTAACGGCTGCGGATGTGAAAGAAGCCAATCCCAGGAACATTATCGGTTCTGGCAAAAGCCTTAATCTGGGAACCTACTAATATATGGGAAGCACAATAGATCTAATCAGGTTGCAGTGTATAAAGGTTCATAACCTAAACACCTCAACCATCACAACCCACAACCGCACTCCACTGAGAAAATTATACAAAAACAAGGGAAAATGATGTCGAAAAAGTAATTACCCGTTACTTTGTACTCGTTACTTCCCAATACTCGAAGTAACGAGTACCGAACCAAGAGTTACATCGTGACTTGGTTACTTCGAATATCTTCACATTTTGATAACACGGCAGATGTTACCGCTATAATCGCATCGCATAGCATATCGTATTTCGTCTCATTTTCAAATATTTGTCAACCAGAGCTTGTATGTATTTTGATTCGCCAGATTTGCTATGAAAGTTGCATTGGTGCAATCTCAATGGGGTTCACTTGGACCTTGAGATCCGATTATCACCAGTGCACACATAAGTGCTCCAGAAGCTCATATCGTGCGGGTTTGATTAAATAATTCTTATAATGGTTAATGGAGATGAAGGTATTGCAGTAATTAGCATGATAAACGATATTAACAATAACAAATGATGCAATATCAAAAATACACCAACCTACTAATGCAAATAATCAAAGATACGAGTCTACCTATTTGAAATGATTACTTTATACCAAAGTAACGAGAAGTAACGAGTAGTCACGAGTAATAAAAATATCTATAGGAATAAAGCATGAATTTTGTTCATTCCTATCTTTTTGCTTTCAAAACTCTACAACCTAAATAAAAGAATTCCTACAAATACCACAAAAAGTATGTAATCTATTCAGCTTACTAGATAGATACCTATTTGACGTTAATTATTCACCTTTAACAACTCTCTGCTTCAAGAATTGATGAAAAAAAAGATGAAGCAAGAAACAATGGTTTCTAAAATTAAATAGCTTTTTGCAGTGTAGCTTGGTTCTCGCGGATGATAAATTGAAATATTTACAGACACTCAAGTCGCAACTTGAAACGTCCCCTAGAGTTTTGTTGGACAGATACATACTGTTTGTCAAGAACACTCGAGCAAAAGCAAAAACTCAAAAAAACCGCGCGCACCGAGCACAGTTTCATTTCGAGTTGTGTAAGCTCGCTCGAAAAATCCCTAGGGTGTGTTGCGCTACAATGTTATTTCCTCGTCATAAAAGGATTAACATTTTTAGTACAGCAGGATGTAAAAAAATAGCTTAAATACTTTACCTGTATTTCCGGAAACTGGTAAGCAGGAGGCATTATCTCTATTCGCCGATTATTATTCAATATCAATCCATTAAGCTTCGAATGTGAATTGAGGCTTCTAAGTTTAGGTTGTTCGCTTAACGGTTGCTTCTTAATATTCAACGGTTTAGCTTTTATTATCATTTCAGCTTGCTGAGGTTGGCTAATAGGAATCGGCTTGCTAGTACTCTCAGCGACCATCGGTTTCGATTGACTAGGCAAAAGCGGTGGTGGTCTCGCCCCTAAAGGTGGGGAAGATTTTTCCTCGGGAGGATCTGATAGTGGCAAGGGCGGCGGTCTAGAAAGATGTTCTTCATTGAAGATTTGAGTTTGTCTTGGTGGTGGTTTGATCGCTGGTTTTGGTGGTAAGGCTGGTTTCGGTGTACTATCCAAGGAAACCTAATTGAGAAAAAGCATTTGAGAATTATTATGGATAATATTAGTTGGTGTTCTCAATAGTTAGCTAAATGCAAAATTCGGCTTTATAACTGACAATGTAATAAAATCAATAGTAAATTCATAATCTCGGTTCCAGCTTATCTTTCGTGGGAATTTTTTTTTTTTATAGATAGTTAAAATGTGACCCTAAATGGATTTATAAACGTATGAAGTTGTGCGAACGACCTAATCTGTTCGAGGGTAAAAATCACTTGAAAGCCAGAAGAGTATCGAATTTTATAGCTTCAAGATTATTATTGCTGTTGAAATTGACAAATATATACAGGGTGTCCCACCGAAAACTGTCAATGGCCTATATCTTGAAAACGGTAACCGATAAAAAAAATATGAAAACCCCGTTTGGAGGGTTGGAAGGGGGAACCAAAACAAGGTACTTTTCAGTTCTCCCTGAATCACCCCTCCGGCCGTTGCTACCCTAACCTCAAAATCTTAAATGGCACTATAGGTCATGTGATACCTTGTTTTAAAGGTCTTTTAATTCTCTTAATGGATCTGCAAAAAAAAATTATTCAGATTTGAATGTGACTCTCATTTTGATGAAAACCTCATTTGATCCAGTGGAACAGGTAAATGTGATTTAAAATCGATTTTATACAAATTGAATAATGAATATTTTTGAAGAAATCATCAAGAGTTTATTTTTTTGCACCCCTTTCCCCTCACTGTACCTGACAGTGTTCACCTCCTCAAGAAAGCAAAGTTGTTAACTCGAAGCATGCGCCATTTTGTGACAATTTAAATTTGTATCTAGATATATTTTTTTGCAGATTCGTTTAGAGAATTAAAAAACCTTTCAAACAAGGTATCACATGACCTATAATGCCATTTAAGATTTTGAGGTTAAGGTGGCTACGGCCGGAGGGGGATTCGGGGAGAGCTGAAAAGTACCTTGTTTTGGTTCCCCCTTCCAACCCTCCAAACGGGTTTTTCTTTTTTTTTCTAGCGATTACCGTTTTCAAGATATAGGCCATTGACAGTTTTCGGTGGGACACCCGGTCTAGGCAAAATGTATGTTTTCCTAGATGAACACTAAACTTTAAACTAATCTGTCGACTGAACCAGATCGCATGTGGTTGTAATAATTTATTCAAAGTCAAGGATAATCTTCTGAATACCCACGTTTTATGACGAACCCAGATGTCAGGTAACTGATATCGTTGCTGGAAAGAATTATATTCGAAGCCTGTGTGTGAGGAGCGAAGCAATGATTACGTCTGCTGGATTTTTGAGATACAATAACAAATTGTATAACAATATAATTATCAAGGGTTATTACTTGGGTTGGATGAAATGTTAACTGTAAAATAGTTTTAATTAAGATATAGGTAGGTTAAGATAGGAGTGATCACTCAATTATTTTTTTATTAAATTAATAAAGGATAGTTTAATTCATTTCACACCCTTGATAATTAGGTTAGAAATTAGGGAACTTTTATTTTATTCACTTGATTAGGTTAGAAATTGGGGAACTTTTATCTTATCTACTCGACTAGGTTAGAAATTAGGAAATAAGAATATAAAGTATAGGTAATTAGAAAAAGGGAAAGGTTTTCAATTAAAAGGGAAAACATTAAATGTTCAATTAATAATTTGACCACATGTAACCAGCGAACTCTCTTGGAGAGCCATCAAACTGGATCACAGGGTGGAGCAGTATGAATGGGGAAGGTTGAATAAACTTGAAAACAAGAAACCAGAGGGAACTTTCGGCGAATCGCTGAAAGCTAAGAGGGTTGGAGATCTTCGACTTTGTCGATTCTCGCAAGCCCGGTACTATGAGGTAGCCAATGCGCTTCTCAAGTGGTACCCAGAGGGTGGTTCCTTTCGCTTATTTGAGCAGATGTTGAGGCCAGTTAACTTCAGTTATCGCCATTTCGTCAGTAGTTTTTACTACTAGTTATCGCCGGAAATTTTATTCGCAAAGTCTCAACGAGTTCTCGATCCGTTTCTCATCCTTTAGTTCATCTGCCGCCCGGTGTTTTTGTAAAAGCTCTCCAAAGAGGTGATAGTTTATTTTTTATTTCAATTCCATTGAAGTGTCAGATTTGGAACTAAATCTTTTAATTGGGAAAATACTCTCTCTTCTTTCATTTGTTTTTAATTTAAATTGTTTATGGTCCTATAATTAAATAAGGCAATTTTAGTTTTTTTTCTTAATATTTTACCTTACCTTTTTTTTATCTTTAGATAATTAACGCCAAATTATTTTTTTACTCATAAATAAATTAATTTTGATCTTCGAAAATTAGTCTTTCCTTTTCTGGTTTAAAAATTCCCTTTAAAACAGTGGTGGTAACATAGAAAGATCTTACCTGCCGGTTTGTGCGGTTAAAGAAGGTGTTTGCAGCTTCAGCAGAAAAGTGGAAAGTGGTACTAATTTTGAGTCTCTAATAACACCTTTCAATAACCACTTCAAGAAGAGAAGAAAGAAGATTTCGTTCAGATCTCCTCCGGTTCAGAAAACTTATTTACTGCTTCAGACCAAATTTACTTTTCAGCATAATTTACCATGAAATTTTAAGTTGTGACTGAATTATTCACGCTACCAAAATATCAATTCTTATATAACATCTCAATTTTGTCACAACAAGAAAATGGAATACCTAGGCTTCAAAGGCATATAGATCTATAGGTTCCTAGAACAACACTTTTTGTTCAAAATTGACCCCAAGTTTTTAGCACTCAGAACTGCCTGTGGTAAATCTATTTCTAACTTTTACAACTAGAATAACTGACGTCACACCACCTACTGGTGCAGGTGAACTTCAGATGCAAAATATCCAGAAAGAAGATCAGGGCAAGCTCTGCACCGCACTGCTTCGACGTGGCGGAAAAACTTAAGATTGAAATCTCCCAAAGATGATACAAGCAAGATCTTCTCCGAGGAATAACAAGCACAACTTTAAGTGCTGAGGAACATTGAAATAAACTTAAATCTGAAATGTTAGGAACCACAACGCAAATAATGGGCAAGAAGAAGAGACGTGATTGGGCGGACTGGTTTGATGGAGAGTGCAGAAGGGCCAAAGAAGATCGGAACAAATCTCATAAGAGAAAGAAGATCTGCATTTGAAGAGGCAAAAAAAAGGGCTGACAAAACATGCCGCAAAAATAGGAGAAGATCTGAAAACGAGAAAATGCAACGACTGGAACATGACTTTGAAAACAATGATCTAACGTTTGAGAGAAGGATACAAACCACGCACAATCCTTTGTAGAAACAATAGGACAAATAACCAGTGATCCACAAAAAATCAAGGATACATGGAAAACATACTTCCTAAAGAAGGAGGCACAATTAACGTCGAAAATAGGCCCCCGTAAATTTCAACCAAAGGACCCCGCACACTTCTTATGGGATTTCTGACCGCGGTCAAATTTAACCAAATTTTAATATGTTATAGATCAGACCTTTCCGATCAATAACTATCATGGGCACAACTCAATCCTATGACTAGTTTTCAAGATACAGGGTGTTCAGTGTGTAAATGGAACATAAGGAATAACTCTGTTGTTATTAGAGTTGGAAGGATGGGGTTTTTGCGAACTTTGGCTACTTTTTTGTCAAACGAAAAATGGCACCAACAGAATTGTCATCGCTCTTTTGGTTTTTTCAGATGCAAGATGTTTTTGAAAAAGTTGCATTCTGGGACACCTCTTGTTTCTCGGTTCTCTCATAAGTGATCGAAAAGGTAACAACGGATTTTTATAGATATTCTTACTAGAAGCTCATTGGATAGCTCTACTTTTGCTGATTTCAAACCTAAAGTTCGATAGGTGTAACTCTAAATCTCTAAATTCTGGGCACAACCTGTTTGAAAATAACTCCGAGACGAACCATAGCCAGGGGGAGTTGCTTTCATCAATCGTCAATTCAAACATCTCATCACTAAATCCCAAGTAATATCAAACAGTGATATATTTGGTAATAAGCCTAAACAAAAGATACAGTATTCAACTGATACACTGCTACGCACCTACAAGCACAGCGAGCAACATAGAAAAACTATTCGAAGACATTACACGGGCCAGAAACCTCGAAAACACTCAATATGTAATCATTACAGGGGACTTTAACGCCAAGGTAGGAAAGAAACAACCAGGTGATACATGCTACAAGGGAACTTTGGCCAGGAAGAACGGAACGAACAAAGAGAAATGCTCGTAAATTTCTTAATGAACGAAAAACTACTGTATGAACACCTTCTTCCAAAAATAAACTTAAAGGAAGTGGACGTAGTAAAACCCAGGTGGACTGTGGACTGGTGAAAAATTAAAATGACTCCATCCTCGCTAATAGGAACACTATTTGCAAAGATGTCACAGTGCTAAACAGGTTTGACACAGGAAGCGACCATAGAGTAGAGCGTGCCAAGATACAAATAAACATCAACAGAGAAAGGAGAAGACTAGTCACCAGACATATTGTCCGTCGATTTAAATCTGATACTCGGACGGAATGTGAGCTGGTGGCTCCCTACATTAGAACGCCAATGGTTATGTCACACCTGTTTTGCCGTATGAAACACCCCCTCGCTCCTCATACGGAAAGTGTCAGTTGAAAATCGATGAACAATACATTCCCATTCCCTACAAGAGATGCCCTGCAACTCAATCAGGAAACCTATCAAAAAGAACTGGAGAAGACGCCAAGACTACCAACACTCCAGGGTAAAGACATAGATCAGCCACAAAGAAAACATGCAGTAGGATAAGACAGAGATCAGATACCAAATTAAAACCAGAGATGATAGAACTAATAAGAAAAAGAAGAAAAACTGACAGAGACTTCCCAGAATATAATACCCTAAATAAGACAACGAAAAAAGAAATAAGTAAAGACCTAAGAGAAAACAAAACAAACAAAATCCTAGAAACTATAGAGAAAAATACAGGCATGAGAGCTCTAAGATCGAACCAAGAGAGGGGAAAACAGAAAATTGTGAAAAAAAAAGCAATCAAGGAATCCTAATCACAGACAAACCGGAAATTAGAAGGGAAATACAAATAATCTACGAACAGCTCTACCAAACAACTATACCAAGCCGAAATGGACCACCTAAACACATTACAAACGTAGGCTCAGAAGACATGCCGGAAATATCACTATCAGAAATTAAATACGCACTCCAACCACTGATCTAAAAAATAAATGGATAAACAATCGTACGGCTCGAAAAAACGGCAAGAGTCCGGGAGAAGATCGAATAATACCGGAAATGCTAAAGATGGATGGAAAAACACTAACAGAGACAATAAAAATGCTGTTAAACAAATGTCTGATAGAGGGAAAAATCCCGGAACCATGGATAAATGCCGAATTCGTGATAATAATATACAAAAAAGGGGATCGTTCAAATATGGAAAACTACAGACCCATAAGCCTGCTATCACACCTATATGAACTTTTCACTCGAATTATCAACAATCAACTGACTGCGAAGTTAGATTCTTACCAACCGGTAGAACAAGCAGGCTTTCGAAGGGGCTTTAGCACTACAGACATCTGCAAACAATTGAAGCAGTCATCGAGAAAACAACGGAATATAACATACCCCTACATTTGGCGTTTGTGGACTACCAGTCTTTTTTAGCGGCAATGGAGGACGCAAGAATCGATTCGAGATACTCTACTTTTATTAAAAATATCTATGATAAGGCAACATTTCACGTAAAAATAGATGACGATCTTAAAACTGACAAAATATCACTTGGCAAAGGAGTACGACATACGACAGGGGGATATCATCTCTTCCAAGCTATTTACTCTAGCACTGAAGAATGTTTTTAAGCGGCTAGCTAAGCATGGGAAAATAAGGGCCTAAACATCGATGAAGTATACCTCAATCACTTCAGATTTGCAGATAATATAGTCTTGATGAACACCAATATTCAAGAACTGAACAACATGCTAAATAAGTCAAACGAACAATCCAAGAAAATAGGCCTAAAAATTAACCTAAACAAGACCAAAATAATAAGCAAATTATCCAAACATGAATGTAACATCACTATAGACAACGTTACCATAGAAAATGTAGAGCATTACATATACTTAGGACATAAAATCAAGCTGAGCAAAGAAAACCAAACGGCGGAAATCAAACGCAGGATCTATTTAGCATGGGTGGCATTCGGAAACATGAACTTTATTTTCAAAGATAAAAGGTACCCATGAAACTAAAGAGGAAAGCCTACGACAGCTGTATTCTGCCGGTTCTCACCTACGGCTTAGAAACTATGGCAATAACCCGAAAAGTAGCTGAGCAACTAAGAGTCGCACAGAGATTTGTAATGATGCTGGGAATCACCTTAAGGGATAAAATACGAAATGAACAGATAGGTGATAGAACCAAAGTGAATGATGTTGTGAAAAGGGTAGCAGGCCAGAAGTGGCAATGGATCAGACGTGTGGCGAGACAGGACCAAGATAGATGGACCCAGAAAACGGCACTCTAGAGAACAAGAGGAACAACAAGAAATTGACAATTTCAGAACGGTAGCAGGGGAAAAATGGATGAGATAAGCGAGGGATCGCGGGACATGGAAAAACCTGGAAGAGGCCCATATCCGACAATGGATGGACACGGGCTGACGAAGAAGGTCTAAGGGTGTATCTCTATCATGTCTGTTTTTGTCATAATGTGTCAGAAAAGAACTTTGCATTTGCGAGGAAAATGAAAAAGGTCTCTTCCTAACACATTGTTTCTTATGACAAAAACAGCTCAAAATATTTTTGCTGGAAAACTGTTAGAGACAAACCTGTCGAATTTTGTATCATTGACATCAGCAAAAGCAGAGCTATCCAATGATTTTATAATACAAAGGGTGTCTCATTTGAAAACACTATGTTTGGTTGATAAATCAAAAACTATCACTTCTAGAGAAAAACTGACTACGCAACTGGCAACTACTGCAGGCTTCGTTAAAATATCTATAAGAATCCATTTTCACCTTTTCGATCACTTATGAGAGAACCCATATACAAGGGGTGTCCCAAAATGCAACTTTTTCAAAAACACCTTGTATCTTAAAAAACCAAAAGGACGGTGACAGTTCTGTTGGCGCCATCTCTTGTAGCCGAAGTTCGCGAAAACCGCATTCTTCCAACTCCAATAGCAACCGAGTAATTCCTTACGTACAACCAAAATAGGACACCCTGTACATGAACCTATCGTTCGAGCACAAGTATCCATTGGTATTTTACTTGATTTTTGTGCCTTGACCAAATTCTCACACGAATATGATTCGGCTGATTGAATAGAATGTCATAATGTATATCGGACATTCACACATTGAACACCCTGTATCTCAAAAACTAGTCATAGGATTAAGTTGTGCCCATGGTAGTTATTGATTAGCAAGGTCAGATCTATAACATACTAAAATTTGATGGAATTTGACCGCGGTCAGAAATCCCATAAGAAGTGTGCGGGGTCCTTTCAATATTTTAAAGGTATCATCATTGCAAGAAAAAAATTGAAATTTAAAGAGGATCGTAAGTGATAGCAGATATAGCTCATCAAAGAACGTAGGTCCTGCTATGCTATGCATAGGAAATATCCAAGGAAATATCCCTACGTAGATTTTTTTGAATATCTCGAAAAATACTAATCCGATTTTAAAGTTTTTAGGGTCCTTTTGTAGATATCAAACTCCAAAAAGGTCAAAATCGGATTAGTATTTTTCGAGATATTCAAGAAAATCTACGTAAAGATATTTCCTTGGATATTTCCTATGCATAGCATAGCAGGACCTACGTACTTTGATGCGCTATATCTGGTATCACAGACATACGATCCTCTTTACATTCCAAATTTTTTCTTGCAATGATGATTCCTTTAAAATATTGAAATTTGGTTGAAATTTACGGGGGCCTATTTTCAATGTAAATTCTGCCTCCTTCATTTATTGGGATCGCAAGAAAATGATCAACACATTTCCATGTGTTGATCATTTTCTTGCGATCCAGATACCAGATGCAGGGGAGAGAGAGGAAGTGATCGAGACCCCAACTTTCAACCAGTGCAACAAAGTGCCCCGAATTGTGCCTAGCCCCTCTGAACTGTTCAAAGAAGGGGAGGAATACATAACAGCAGAGGTGCATGCATTGGTTTCAAAGAGGGACAGAAGAGCGAATTTCCGAAGACTGGAGAACTGGGATTATCTGCCCTATTCACAAGAAAGGAAACAAATTGAGCTGCGAAAAATATTGAGGAATAACCCTTTTATGCTCTGCCTATAAGATATTCATGTATATCCTAAGTAAGAGTTTACAACCAATCTCAGAGAAATAATTGGTGAATATCTAGCCGGCATCAGACAGAATCACTCTACAGCAGACCAACTCTTTGTGGTCAAACAAATGCTTAGTAGTTAGCGTGGGACCATGACATCGACATTCATAACGTCTTCAGAGAATTCATAAGAGCCTAAACCATAGACGCCTACACCATGAATAGAGGTCGACTATATCAGGATCTTCACAGTTTCATCATCCCTCCCAAATACATCAGACTATACTAGAAGCCACAATGGATAAATAAAGGGCTCAAGCAAGGAGAAGGACTAGCTCCCACACTGTTCAATTTGGCGCAAGATTACGTCATCCGAAAAATAGACGTAGGAAGATCAAACCCATTAAAATCTGAGTCAGTACAATAGCGGCATACGCAGACAACATAAACATCATGTCTCGTAGAGCAGAGAGAGAAGCCGAAAACATCGGTCTCGAAATAAACACACACAAAACAAAGACACAGATCCAAAAAAGAAGAAGCAACAATGAGAGACGCACTAGAGTTGAGCATGACCTTGATGCGGTTAAGAGCTTTAAATACCTGGGAGTTGAAAGAGATAAACACATCGGAGAACGAGGAGGGCGAAATACAAAACAGAATAGGTACAGACGGCAAATAAGACATTCTTCTCTTTGACACAAGTATTTCTCTCTGGAACCATCTATCGCGAATCCAAGATCAGAATCTACAAAGCAATCATCAGACCAGTTCTATTGTTATGGATGCGAAACATGGGTCATGACTGACAGCCTGAAAAGCAAGCTGGAGAAAAGAAAAATCATCTGCAAAATATATAGGGGTGTTAATGAGAATGGGATCACGAACTACACCAACTGTTCAGAGAAGGTTCCATCTCAGAATTGCATAGACTTTGATGAGCTGGTTATGTGATCCGAATGCCAGAAGAGAAACTACCAAAGAGAGCACTTAATAGCCGAATGTGTGGAAAAAGACCAAAAAGAAGGCCACGGAATAGATGGGAAAATACCTTTTATTTCAATAATATTTTCTGTTGATCAGTATGAGAGGTCATGCTTGCTACAACGCTATATTTTCTAAAGTGGGTAATCAATTTATAACCAATAACCCGTACATCTAGAAAAATTGTCCAGGAAATCAGGCAAGATACGGAATTAATTTGAACCAATAATTTGGACATTAAATTTTACTAAAGACTACAAACAATATCCTTATACCAGTGGAATTGCGCTTTTTAGTAATACACTGGCCTGGATTTATAATTTCATGCAAATAGTGTAATAGTAGAAAAAAAAAAAACAAGTATATTCTTACCTCTGGTGTACTCATAGGAGTACTACTAGACTGTGGAGGTGACAACGCGTTCCCCAAAGGCGATTGTACGTGATTACTCTGAAACACGGAAGTAGGAGTTTTGGTGGTCGTAATAGTTTGTGGTTCCACCGGTTGTACTTTAATGGAGGACGTTTGGTAGACTGTAGAAGGTATGCTCGTATGATGAATCGATGTTGGTGCTACACTACTAATTGGCTTCTGATGTATGGGCGGCGCGTGACTATTTGTTCCATTGCTATTAGGACACGAGTTATCATTCTGGAACTTATTGGATCTTGAAATATGATCTTCTTTAGCGATGTTGGAAAAGAGGTTTTGATCTTTTCCGTCGCTATTTTTTCTACTGAGCAAATCGTGCTGGTTTAATGGGGTTGCTATATTTTTATTAACCTAGAAATATAGAAAAAGTTTTGTTAAGACTAATTGTTTTTAGGATAGGTATAACAAAGTTATTACCTGACTTAGTGGAGCACTATGCACCATCATATGCGCAGCCTGTATAACACTATTAGCATTGCTACTAACAGATGTCAAGTAATTATTGTCATCTTTATCGTTGCTATTCGAATCACCCTTTTTGTTGTTATTTAACAAATTGACTGTAAACTTCGTATTGTAAGGTAGCGTCTGATATTTGGGATCAGATTTTGATACGTTGAATTCTTTAAGATTATCTTCCTCGTTCCTGGGTATGTAAACGTTGGCCATTTTATTGGCCAACGCTTGGACATCGTTGATGTTGATAGGGTTCGATTCTTGTTTGATATGTTGGTGGTTTGGTTGATATGCGGGGTGATATGCTGTATGCTGTAACAAGAAATGAATACATTCTGAGGCTAATCAAAGAAATAGATAATGCATTATAATTACAAAAAAAAAAAACAAGAAGAGTGTTTATTTTTAACCATATATGAAATGTTGTCATTAATGACTTCAAAAATTTTAAAATATCACATTTCTGTCTCAGGACGGGAAATGAGGACGGGAAATTTTTTCCGTCCTCACTTCCCGTCCACTGACGGAAAATGGAACAGGGAAATATTTCCCGTCCTCATTCCCCGTCCTCATTCCCCGTCCTCATTTCCCGACCTCATTTATTTGATTGTTGCGAATTTTTTTTTTTTTTTTCAAGAAATTATGGTTTAAAATGAAATAGTATACAAACCTCGACGGGAAACTTCATTGCTGTCTCGAGGTACAGTTTATCTCGACGCTACGCGTCTCGATAAACTATATAACCTCTCGATCAGCAATGAAGCATTTCCTGTCTCGGATTGTAATATACTATTATTTTCTCTATTAATCGCAATTCCTAACAACATGTCTGTATTTGTTTTGCCTAAGTCCCACTAGTTTTCTCTGGAAACAATCCAGCAAAAAAATCCATATAAGATTATTTACGTTGCCTATGAGAAATAAAAAACACCACTGAAATTTTGCCTCTTAATTTTTCCCCACTGGGTGTTAGAAAACTGTCAAGTGCAGGATTAAAAGACCACGGTAGGATCATTATTTCCAACGCTTAGGGCGGATTATTTTTCCTTCACTTTTGCGTTCTGTTTCATTTTGGCTCGTTTTGTTGGCCTTTTACCTTTGCGTGTCGACCTTAGTACATTTCCAAACCCCTTTGGATTAGATTCAACCTCGATGCAAATACAGTGTAGGTAATTTTCTTGGATTTATAGACGTGTGTCTGGGTTAAAGCATTAATTTCGCTTCTATGCGGTTAAATATACCCCTCATGGCTAAGAAACCTTTTTACGTTTCATAATTCAACCGACGGTGTGTCACCCCTAATATTTTAAATAGATAAAAATAAAAAGAGTAATCTGATTCTAACTAAGTAAAACCACAATATACATACGAAGCAAAAGAACCAATAATCTCTGCAAACTTGAAGAAGCAAAGTAATTCAAGTCCATGCTCCAACAGCGATTAAAAAAATAAATATTGACCATCCTTTACATTCGCTCAAGGGTCAGTGGTAGGGAAATCATATCACAAACTATGACCAGAAGTAGTATATATTCTTGGGTTTCCGAAATATACGGAACTCTACCCCTATCTAAATATGTCTGAAGCGTAATTATTACTTCCGGATTCGGCTAGCGGTTTTCTAACAGGAAAACTAATTTCTTGCCAAAATTTGATCTGTTTCCTTGTCAGGCAAAAATACGTTGCTTGTTCTTTGGTCATTAATAATTTATATTTTTAATTTGTTTTATTTACAAAAATGAAAATGTAATGATTTGCGTGAGAATTGGTGGAACAGTACGTCAACAAAAGTTCTGTTCATTGCCCAAACAGATGCATATAGTAATCAATGACATTTATAGTAATTAACACGTTTAATAATGATTTCAATAAACTGCTCAGATTATCTGAACACACACTCACTGACAGATGGGGAATTTGGGAAAATAATTGAATTTCTGCTAGTTAATTACTATAACATAATGAAGACTGACATATTAAGCATTATGAGGCTGGGAATTGTTGGGGATGTTAGTTTAATGAGAGTTTGGCAGTAATAAAGCCGTTAATTTGGAACTTCATCTTGTAATAGAAGTGTTCAATTATTGTCAATTGATTACATTATGATGTTAAATTTGAATGTAGGTATGCAAAAACCTGTGTATAATATTTTCTTGGATTATGAAAAGGGAGCATAAATTTCATTAATATTGATATATGCCAATACTTATGACAAACAACTTTCATCCTGAATAATAATTGCAATCGAACAATTTTGTTTATATTATTCGAATTGCTGATTATCGATAGTTAACGCTGTTCAGTCTGTTTCATTTTCATAGTTCATTATTCATTATTCGCTGAAAAGCTTTATTTACTGCAGCGTAGGCATAATATGTTTCATGTTGAAATTGCTTATTTTTTCAGAATGAATTTCGTTTGAAAATAATAAATGTTAGTCAATTATTATTTTAATATCTAATTGTGTGAAAAGACTTGATAATAAATTGTATATTATTTCTAATGAAAATAGAAAACTGCAAACAAATCCGACGATAAATACTGTCGCTGTCATTATTTAAAGTTAACATAGCTAGGGTGATTATTTTTGACTTGTTTGCTTATTAAGTATCCTTTGATTCACAAAGTTGGATTGATTAAAATTATCTTTAAAATTGCATATTATATTTCTGGTCTTGCTTAAGTTAATTTATTAAATGCGTATCGTACTTTGAGACATTATTCTTACCTCTTGCGTAGGGTTGCTCCTGATATTTTGTTGTAAAGGAACATGGTTGTAAGGTTCTACTGCAGCAATGTTGCTTCGCAACAAACCATTTGGTGGAATATTGTTGTTTTGATGTTGACTTCTTGCGAATGCTTGATTGTTTTGTTCTGCCGTTCCAGTTAATCTGAAAAAGTAATTTTGTTTTTTATATCTACTGGCTTCCAAGGCAATCAAAATCGAAATTTATTTATTTTTTAATAATTTTCATTAATTCAAAATTAATGTGACGTATTTATGTTTTTTTTTTTATGGGAAATATTCAAATATGTAGCCCTGAGGGAACAATATTACTTTTCGAAATCATTTACCAAGAGCAATAAAACGAAATCTTTCCATTACCAATAACATGTATTTTATTGCGCTTAGAAAACCGGTGTAGTGTGTTTCGGTTTTGTCTTATTTCTAGTTTTAAATCGATTTAAAGAGACAACGTAGAATGGCCATTTTTATAAACGGAAAAGTTTTAGAGACAATCAATTTTCTTTCAAATCGAATTTTCCGAGAACGTCAGAATAGTAGGGCTTTAGAATGCAGAGGTACCTATTTCAATGATAGATGCAAAATGTCGAGTTTAAAGTAGATATTTGACTGGGGAGATTTATTTTGGTTGAGGGTCATTTATAATAAAATATACGGAATAAGAAATTCGGAAAGACTAGTTTTCCATTCAAGAATGTTCTCCCATAACAACGATTGTATACAATTATTATGGAAAATATATCTTCAATCCTCAAAATGACTGTTGTTTTTTAGAAAAAAAAATCATAAACTTTACCCCCTCCCAGGTGCTATTTGCATAGACTTTTCATTTCATAAGACCAATTTTCTTCTATGTTAATACTTTTTTTTTTTAAATTGAATTAGTAAGTGAAGATGGATAACACGACAATGAAATGAACACATAAGCAGAATTGAGAACAAGAGACGAATAACACTCGATGATCGAATTTTTTTCCATATTATTTTCTCATTGCGTACCATTTTTAAAAATTGATTCATCTTCGATTGCTGGATGCTTGGAATTGACTAATGTTGACTTGTGTGGCTTTGAAATAAGTAAATAGGTTTCTAGCCTCTTTGGCGTAAGAACGATTTGTTTTGGTTGGATGATATAGTCGTGAGATATCTGGCGTATTCCATAATTTCTTAGAAATATGTCGTTTCTAATGCCTTTGCAAGTTATTGTCCATCCCGGGGGCTGACTCGTCGCTTGTACCTTTTTGGGCGCTCCAAAATGAATAAAAACTCCCCTGGTTTTGAGGGTCCGATGGAGTCGCTTTGAAATAATTGTTTTGGCTCTTAAACACTGCAGAGTCAAATTGGACACTCCTAACTGTCTGTGGAGTCACTTTGGATTAGTTTTTCTGGCTGTGGAGTGGATTTGCACTCTCTTGGCATTGTGAAGTTGCTTTTCCTGACGTGGTGCAGTGATTTTGGACTTCCTGGTTTCTAGTGCGCGATTAGATTGAGAATAGTTTTCCTGGCTTCCGAATTGCTGTATTTGAACTTACCTGTCTTCTATGATGCAAGGGAGTGGATTCGGACTTCCGGTGCGCTTTGGAGTATTTCTCTTGGCTTCCGATAATCTGAGGAGTGCATTTCGACTATTCTGGCCTTTGGGGCATTGTGGAGTCGCTTGAGAATTATCCTATTGGCTTCTGGAGCACTGGAGATTGAATTTGTACTCTCCTGACTTTTGAGGTGCTGTGGAGTCGCTCTGGATAAGTTCTATTGGCTTATACAGCGCTGTGGCGTAGATTTGAAATCTCCTGGCCTTTGGGGCGCTATGGGTTTTCTTGTCTTCTTGAGCACTGTGGCATGACTCTGAAATAAATCTCCTTTCCTTCTGAAGCGTTATGGAGTGGATTTGAACTATCTTTTCATCTTGGGACGAGGTGGATTAGTTCTCCTGGGTTCTGGACCGCTGTGGTATTACTTTGGAAACAATATCCTAGATTCCGGAGCGCTATGAGTGGATTCATGCAAGTTCGGCAATTTGCCTTTTTTTTCGATATTATCTTCTCATTGCGTACCTTTGGGTTGAGGCTGTCAAATATTTTCAAAACTTGTTCGTCTTTGGTTGGTACGATAGAATTGCTGAATGCTTCGAATTGGTTGACTTGTGTGGCTTTGAAACAAGAAAACCGGTTTCTAGACTAGTCGTGAGATATCTGGAGTATTCCATAATTTTTCAGAAATATATATTAATATTTCTAATGCCTTTGCAAGTGCGTGTCCATTCCGTCGCTTGTATCGAAATGGAAGTGGACTCGCCTGGTTTTGAGGCTCCTATAGAGCGCTTTGAAATAATTGTTTTGGCTCCGTAAGCACTGCAGAGTCAATTTGGACTAGCTAGTGGTTTACCTGGCTTCTGAAGAGCTGTGGGGTGGAGTTGCACTCTCCTAGCCCTGTGGAGATGCTTTGTATGAATTTTCCTGGCGTAGTGCAGCGATTTTGGACTTTCCTGGCTTTTGTGTAGTCGATTGAGAATAGCTTTCCTGGCTTCCGAATTGCTTTACAGTGGATTTGAACTCACCTGTCTTCTAGGGTGCTATGGAGTGACTATAAATTAACCCTTCTGGCTTCTGTAGTGGATCCTGACTTCCGGGGCATTTTGGATTATTTCTCTTGGCTGTAGAGTGAACTTTACTTTGAGAATTATCCTCTTGGTTCTGAAGCACTGGGGAGGGAATTTGTACTCTCCTGAAATTTGAGGTGCTGTGGCGTGGATTTGAAATTTACTGGCCTCTGGGGCGCTATGGCTTTCTTCGAGTTATTCTGGCTTCTAGAGCACTGTATCGTAGATCTCGAATAAATCTCCTGCCTTCTGAAGCGCTATGGAGTGGATTCGGCAAATATTGTCATCTTGGAGAGAGGCGGATTAGTTCTCCTGGGTTCAGGAGTGGATTTGTACTCTCCTGGCTTCTACACCGCTGTGGTATCGCTTTGGAAACAAAGTCCTGGATTCCGGAGCGCTATGAGTGGATTCATGCAAACAATAGGTTTGGTAAATGAAATATACCGATCATTATTTTGAGAGATAACATCCAATCTCTCGTCTTTTCGGGCCAAGTCCTTGATGAACAGGTGGAAATCAAAATTTGATATAGAGTGAAAGAAGATTGGGATGAAGTTTGGGACTTTAAAATGGAGGTTGCATATAGTGTGGGCTGCTGCACGATATTTACAGGTGAGATGGCAGTGATCCCTTTCTTTTTCGTCTTCCAAGAAAGATACTCGACCATGAAACTTATTAACAATCAGAATGAAAGGATTATTTTGAATTACTTTTTATATATAATTATTGGAAAACTTTATTGACTGAAGAAATGGAGAGTGTTTCACTTTAGACAAAAATTTACATATTATTAAAATCTGCATGAATTTACCTTATTTCAATTAGAGTAACTCAAAGCTTTAGTGTCTACCTAAAATTTTTGATTTCCTCTGACAACGAAATTCCAGTTTTATGTTTTGCCATGAAATTTCCCCCTTTCAGCTATCAAAACCAGCGAAAATGTTCACCAAACATCAACAGAAAAACAAACCGCGGTAACCAAATGGAAAACTGAAAACGCGTGTGAAAAAAATTACGATAAACGACGAGCAAATTGACCACCAGATTGGACTTTGAAAGGGCACGTTACGGAAAACTGAAAGTTTTAATCTCACAACGAGTGGAGTTCAAAATTGGAAATTAATGTAGTAAGCGGTTCACACATCCAGAAGAAAAATTTTTGCTTCACTTTCATCTGGTAAAAGCTCGGATGAGAGTGGGAAATGTTGAAAGCAGTAATTTTTACAATTGCAACTTGTGTTGAAATTAATTGGATTCGGAATGAGTGCTCATCCAGGAGAAAATCTATACACTGTGGTTGATTGAATGGAATAAATTCACAATTTTAGATATTGTGTTCTCGTCTTTTTCGCTTGGATCTTATTTTGACATTTAAGTATTATTTCATTTCTGATAAAGACGGGACTGTTCTGAAATAGGAAATCATTCCAGATAAAATAATCGTACTAAATAGAAATATAACAACCATTTACCAAATCAGTTCGCGTAGTTCCTCCTCCTCAAGATAATCCCAAATTATTTTCCAAATAAATTTGAAATTATAAATCTCGCAGCGTTAGATCTCGCACAAAATAAAAGTCGCTTAAAGTTTCGATACGTTACAAGACAAATTGCCTCGTGTGTAGCACAATTTTATTTCGAACTTTACTCTAGAAAACTCTCAAAGATATTCATTGGATTCTCATGTTATTTAGATCAAGCCTGTCTGTGTGCGCTCTTTCGAAAGCCCCCTGTGCTCGGAAATAGTTTTGATTTTTGAATGGCGTAACTTCTAGTTCCAATTCCGTAATAAGCTGGACATATTTCAGATTTGTCCTATGTTATATTTATTCATAAACTCCTTGTAATGATGAGGCAATAAAAATACATTTTCATAATAATGAAAAAAGAAATATAAACGTCACATTTGCTGAATGATTCGAACCGGAAATTGCAAGGCGACGTCTTAATTTTCTGGCATGTCAGAGGAGTGGAGTTTCAATGCTTGCGTTGCCTTTTATAAAGCAAAAGCTCGTATCATTAGTGACACTCTCATAGAAATGAAAGATACGTGTCTTAAGCAAAAGCTCCGAGGTGACAGCTTTACATTTGAAATATTTTTGAACATAGAAATTTCGGTTTGGAAACAATAATGGAACTTTGCGTGGAGGTTTTTTTGTTATTCGCTTCAACAGAGCGAGTAAAAATCAAATTGCAGGCAGTGAAAACACGTTCAAAATTCTATATGCAATCAAACTGAATGAAAAAAAAAATTGAGCTTTTTTGTTATCACCGTTGGCATTGAAAAATTCCGGCAAAATGCGGACCTTAATGTAATAATGGCAGGCACAGTTTGTTTAATCAGGTATTTACCCGGGTATTTGCAATACGAAGTGAATATCACGTTCTAGTGTAATCAATAAAATTTTACGGTTATTTCTATTATTAACTAAACATGTTTTGTTTGCGATTTTTAAAGCGATTTAGGATAAGAGGGAAAATAACCTGTATTATAAGGTAATAAATGTCTTCATCAATAAGTACAAAATGTCCACTTATGACTATAG